TGTAGGCCCTCGGCGGTGGGGCCCCCCCCCCCCCCCCAAATGCAAGGGTTAACTGCTTGTTTGTGTCTAATGAGGAAAATAAAAAAGTTATACTCCCCCAATTCTCTGAAGCCTCTCTCTCCTTCTGCTGCAGCAGTCTAAGGTCCCGTAAATCATCATGCTCTATACACTGAAGGGAATTTATAAATACTGGAGCAGACAAAAACTGGAGCAGCTGTGCATAGCAACCAATCAGCTTCTAACTTTCATTTTCAAATCTTAACTGAACAAATTGAAGAGAGAAGCTGATTGGTTGCCATGCACAGCTGCTCAAGATTTTCTCTGCTTCAGTTTTCATGAATTCCCCCCACTGTGTATAGGACGTGAGGATGCCGAGGGACATATCATCGCTCGACTGTAGGAGGCGAAAGGTTGGAGAGTACGCTGCCGCAGCTGGCCAACTCGGAGCTTCGGGTAAGTATAACTTCATTATTTTCAGCCCTAGACCAAACGAGCAGTTAACCCTTGCAGTGCAGGGTAGCCCCACTGCAAGGGTTAATAATAGCTTTGCCAAGAGTTCTACTTTAATTATAAATACATTTGTACTCACAGTTTTTATCTATTCCCCCGGCAAACTCCTGTTGAGCTTGCCAGTGAAACCACGTAATGTAGCTTCCAGCTAAGGTGTGGTGATGCTAAATTGCTTCTGAAATCAGAGCATAGATGCCACTGTCATGTAGGATGTGCCTGCTTGCACTACAATGGGATGGAAGAAAGTTGCAGGGGAAGTGACAGCATTGGCACTGTTGATTCAAATGCCTGTAGCTTATCAAATCAGCAGCTGGTCACACTAAAGGTGTCCAAACACTGGTAGATTTTCGAAAGAACGTATGTATGAAAGATCTTTCATTCGACTTTCTATTAACTTATGGGGCTAAATCGATCATCGATTTCAACCACAGTGACGAAAAAGAGTTGAAGGAGCAGGATGGAAAATTTTTCTCAAATGAAATTCTAACAGTGAACGCGGTTTTCATTCAGGAAATTCCATTTATTCCAAAATAGAATGTTAAAATAAAACTAAATTTCAATCGACATTCGTTAAGTCTCTGATGGCATTATCGGGTGGTAAAGAAAGATCTTTCCTTCACAAATCTACTAGTGTATGGCCAGCTTTAGTCCTGCCCACTGCTTTCTGGATTGACACCATTGCTTCTGTTGCTGAAACCGTCCCACTGTTTGCTCCAGTGTGAGATACAAGAGAAGGAGAATTTGGCTCATTCAGGTGAGGTAGAGAAAGTTTCTGGTGCATCATATAGTAGCTGAATTTGTCACGTTGACAAGCATTAAGATTCTTCTTTCATGGAGTACTTTTGTTTCAATTTTTTTAGGCACTTTAAAGAACAAGGGCACTTATCCTTTTTCCGCCCCTGCAACCACACTCCTCCAAGATCTTCACTATGCCACCGCCTCAAACGGCAGAGCTTCTACCAGAATAATTTAACCCTTTTCAGGCATGCCGAGGCCTACGTTTACATCCTTGGATAGCCTATTTGCAACATAGGCTGAAAGATTGACTGCCAGTTGAGTGACAGTGAGCTACTGCATTGATTGGTTGGGTGCAGCTCTGAATGAATCAGGCAGAAATTGTGTGGCTGCAAGCAGGCTGCACTGTGAGATCTCAGAATAGGTCATTGTATGTAAGTATGATTATGCTGGAAAAGGGGAGGAGGGACAAAAAAGGATATGTACACTAAAAGTCCATTATAATAAACTGTCAGGTAGGGTAAACTAGTATAGATATCACGTTGCATTTATTGGATTTGCCATTGGTATTCCATGGTCATGCTGGGTGTTTATGCAGTGAAGATGCAATTTCTTCAGCTTAGTACCACCAGTGGAGATGTGGGATGCAGCTGCTTTCAGGAAGGACAGATCTCAGATGTTTTGATTGTGGGTGACCAAAGATCTGACCATCTCATACAGAATGTTGAGCAGACCTCATCTGAGGCTCAAAGATGTGCCAGAAACCATTTATATGATATTGACATGATATTCTGCCATGCATTACAGAGCACATTAAGCCTTTCACATCAGGCCCCTGTCCAGAAGGGTCTTATAGTCAAAGTGCCTAATTACATCTGGGAAACACACATATAGGAGACAATTTGGTTGGAACTCAGGAGTTAAATCTTAAAAATGCATTCAAGTACCCCGACTATTAACAATAATGTAGCTTATTTATGTATCACTCGGCTGTATGTCCTCAAATCATCTCTTAATTGGTGCTGACACTGTCCCTCCTTCAGGAGGGTGTCTACTTTTATTCCCCATGGTCCCTGTGTGTGTTGTAAATAAGCCACCACTCCAAGCTCACTCCCGTGATGGACTACAAGCTCATGTTTAGTTAACTAATTTGTACTGAAGTTGTAGTCTATCACAGGAGGGAGCTTGTACTTTACACACACAGGGACCATAGGGAACAAAAGTAGCCACCCTCCAGAAGGAAGGACAGTGTCAGCACCAATTCAGAGATGATTTGAGGATCTACAGCCGAGTGATACACAAATAAGATACATTTATGTTAATAGTTAAGGTACTTGAATGCATTTTTAAGATTTAATTTCTGAGTTTAGTGTCACTTTAAAGGTGAGCTGTAAGACTCTTACAGTTACATTTTCAGGACTTTCTGGTCTTACCCCCTTCTTCTAAGGTCCAAGCAGTAGTGTAGTCCCTGAAAGCTTGTCCGGAAAATGTAACTTTTACTTCAAATAAAATACAAAATATATCACCAACAGTACTTAATCCTGTTGCTTAAAGGAGAACTATGAGGGTGCTTTTCACTCACCTCATAGTTCTAGCCGACCTGTGACAATGAGACTGTCACAGGTCGGCTCAGTAGATCGGGAGGTGAGCGAACACATACCGGATTTCGCTCACCTCTCGATTCTGTCTGACAGGGGGAGGGGCTGGATTCCCCTCTCCCCGCTCCGATCTGCCAGCGCTGACTGGCGGAACGGACGGGGGAGGGGGCGGGTACAGCTGTCACTCACGCCCAGCTGTCACTCACGCAGCTGGGCGGATCCCGTCATCTACGTCGGAATCCGCTCTGGCTGCGGCGTCTCAGTATACCGCGAGCTGTAGCTCGCGGTATACTGAGCTTAGGGTAACGGGAGGACGCTAGTTTGTGTCCTCCCGTTACCCTAAGGAGAACTATGGGGAAAAACACTGACCCCATAGTTCTCCTTTAAGTTCATATAAACCAGGGGTAGCAAACCTCTGGCCCTCCAGCTGTGGTGGAACTACAAATCCCATGAGGCATTGCAAGATTCACACAGCCACAGACATGACTCCCGAAGAGAGATGCATCATGGGATTTGTAGTTTCACCACAGCTGGAGAGCCGGAGGTTTGCTACCCCTGATATACACTCTACACTGATAGTGCCCTTTATAGAAAATTGCACCCAAGGACCCAGTGATGGAAGGCAAGCACTGATCATCGGGCTGCATTCACACCTGAGCATTAACGGAGAACTATGAGATGAGTGAAAATCACTCATCCTTATAGTTCGAGCCGACGTGTGACAATGACATTGTCACACGTCGGCTCAATAGATTAGGAAGTGCGCGAACGCATACCGTCACTCGCTCACTTCTCGATCATCTTCCTGCAGAGAGCGGTGACTGTCAGTCACCGCTCTCCGCAGGGATTCCCCCCTCCCCGCTCCGATCCACCAGCGCTGACTAGAGGAACGGACGGGGGAGCGTGCGGGTACAGCTCTCTCTTCCTCTAGTTAGGCAGAGCCAGCTGTCACTCACGCAGCTGGGTGGATCTCGACAGCATTGTCGGGATCCGTCCTGGCTGTAGCGGTCTCAGTATACCGGGAGCTGTAGCTCGCTATATACTGAGCTTTGGGTCACGGGAGGAGGTTAGTATATGTCCTCCCGTGACCCTAAAGACAACTATGGGGAAAAACACTTACCCCATAGTACTCTTTAAAGCGTTTACTGGCGATTTTGGAGCATTTTTACTTGTGTGTTTTTGCACATTTGTTCAAGCATATGCAGGCTTCAGTGTTTTTGTTTTAGCAAATGGAAAGCTAATTACTAGGAGAAGGAGATGATTGTTTGATAAAAAAATGCTGATCAGTACTTCTCAGGCATTTCCAGGCACTTCAAATGTCTATGGGGCCAAAGATGCCCCATACTGCTCCAAAAGTAGCTCACGTACCTTTTTGAACTGCAGGCATCGAGCTACAGATGCCAAAGCGCTCATACGTGGATAGGCACGTGGATTTAAAAACATGGTATTTTTTCCGTTGAATGTTTTGGAGCATTGAGCTTCAAGCTACAAAATGTTCAAACCATATGGCCCATCATCAGTTCTTCATGCAGTTTCTATTTTCGCCCCTAACTCATGCAACGTTTCAGGATCGTTCTTCGTATCTCAGAAAAGGAAACTGATAAAAAAAAAATATCACATGGAGACAATTTCCAGCCCACTGGCCAATCTCTGCAGCTAATATAATGTTATTTGTTGATCTGTCCATGTCCTCAACATTAATTGATTTAGATAGGTCTTGTTTCTTGGGGGGGGGAAAGGTACAAATATCTGGGCTATTCAGGGAACTTTAGGTTAATAATACCCTCCCCCATGCCTCTGTCCAGATGGACAGCCACAAAGGGACCTCCTCCACCTTTCAAATCCATACATTGCTGAGTCCCCTTGCCTTTCCCAAGGGCTTCTCTCAGACAAACACCTCCTGGACATCAGAACTAGCTGCTACATGGCCTGAGAGCTCCCACAGTGCAAAGTCCTGTCCTCAGTCCTCTGTGCTGTGCAACACTGTGCATGCCACCATACAGTCAGTCGATATTACAGGCACACTGACAGTCATGTGTCTCGGGGACTGCAGAAAGCCAAAAGTGCCTAAGCTGACAAGAAAGGTAACTGCATTTTACTTCCCATTTCTAAGTCCCCTTGCACAATGACCTTTAAACCCTGTTTGCTATCTAGGCAAAGCTATTGATTATTACTGATTATTGCTGAGAAAAAAAAAGGCGAGGTGACATCTATACTGAGCTAACCCTGTCTGCAGCTGTAAATATTTAACTCTTTCAAGCCCCCAGGTATGCGGAGCAGCGCTACCAATGACTGGGTTAACTGTCACCAATATACCGAGCATGCTCACTTGGATACCTTGATCGAAAGCGATATTTACTAAGCGTGTAGTAGCCAGTTGTCTGTGAATTTGTCACTGGGGTTTCAAGAGTTGTCCTTTAAATTAAATGTCGCCAGCACTGAACAATGACCAAATGCAGCTTAATTTCTGCACGCTCCCTTGTATACGTTGTTGGAAACCGATATTTATTAAGTGTATCATAGCCGTGCGTCTGTGTATGCGTCGCCAGGGTTTCAAGGGTTGTCCTTTAAATTTCTTATCCCTTAATTTAAAAGTTGCCACCTTTGGATTCTACTCAAATGTGGCATTAATCCTGCATGACACTTGTATACCTTGTTTGAGCCCAATATTTACTAAGTATAGTAGCCAGCCGTTTGTGAATTTGTTGCCGGTGTTTCAAGGCTTGTCTCTTGAATGACAAAACGCAGCATAAATCCTACATGGCCACTTGTATACCTTGATTCAAACCGACATTTACTAGCCACTTACTCAGCATAGAGTAGCCAGACGTCTGTGAATTCACTGCTAGGGGTTTAAGAACTTAAATTTGTCTCTAGAAATGTCACCAGCATTAAATTCTGACCAAACGCGGCATAAATCCTGCATGGCTGCATGTATACCTTGCAAACTTTGTTTGAAACCGATATTTACTAAGCATATAGTTGTCGGATTTTGTTGTGCCTGGAAATGTCGCCGGCATCAAATACTGACCAAATGCGGCATAAATCCTGCATGGCCACATGTATACCTTGCATACCTTGTATGAAACTGATAATTACTAAGTATATAGCATCTTGGTTTTCTTGTGCTTGGAAATGTCGCCAGCATTGAATACTGATCAAACGCGGAATGCATTTTTTTTCCCATGGAAAAAATGCATAATTATTTATTAATATTCTTTGGATTGTTGAAGTTAATGTTTATTGGAGAGCTGCAATTATAATTACAGCTCTCCAATAAAAATATTCCAGTTTTAAAAATATGTAATAATTGTGTTATATTCGTTCTGCTGCTGCGTGGTCTGCTAAGATGAGTGCAATAAACTAGACTGAGGGGCAATGTGTCCCCAGAAATATTTTTTAAATTGTGGCAACTATGACTATAGGAAAATGATAGTCGGTATGTACTGCTATGTAATGGTATTACAATGTATGCACATTACAAAGATAACACAAGAACACATTTTGAAGCTTGAATCTTTCCCATTTGTTAAAGGGTTCTCTTGCTCTTCTAGAATGACCATTTGAAGGTATTATTCCCAATGCCGGTTCTGCGTCATATGTGGAAATGTATTTATGCCGGACGCTTTAACACAAAGCAAAATAATGTTGATGATGTCAAATTGCAAATTGATATTTAAAATTTTACTTAGCTTTGAAACTGAATTGCATTTCCTTTAAAGACACAAATACTTTAACCTATTTCTTGGGCAAATGTAGTTTTGTTTGTTATCTAATAGGGAAAAGGCAACATGCAGAGTGCAGCACCCTGTATCAACCAATCAGAATTATTCTGTTACTATTATGATTCTTCAGACTGATGAAAGGTTAAATCTGATTAGTTATTATGAATAATGGAACTATTACATCATAATCTCTTTGTTCTGCTCAATGTAGCCAAGGATGTACCGATACCAATACTGGTATCAGTACTCGTACTCGCCCAAATGCTTCCGATGACTATGCCGATACCTGAACTTCCAGTATCAGGAACCCGGGAGACGAGTCATTGCCCATTTACCCATCGCACTTGTAACCACTGTTCCATAAAAGTTAGGTGGGTGCAACGGCTGTCGACGGATGGCCACCGTCTCTGCCAAATTTAATAAAATGTCATACTTCAAAATAAAATGTAACTCTATACAGTACCAGTGTTAATGTCTGCGTGTGTTTGTAATGTCAGTATATGTGTTTGTGATGGTTTCTTTGTATGCAATGTCAGTACATTTTTTATATAGTTTTGATGGTTTGTGTATTGTCAGGATTTCTGTGAATGATATCAGTATGTATACATGTGTATAGATGTGCAGTGTCAGTATATGTGTGATTTTTTCCCCCACATGTTTTAATTTTAATCATAGAGGGCCAACAGATTCACACATTCATTCACACACAGAAATACGCACACAGAGATATACGCACACACAGATAAATAGGCACAAGAAGAAAAACGCACAAGGAGAAATACGCACAAGGAGAAATACGCACACACAGATAAATACACCATACTACCCCCCTGCCCCCCGCACACACACATAAAATCAAAGAAAGAGCCACTTTACCTGCTTACATTTTGTGGAGGGAGGTGACAGTGGTTGATTATTAAGGTCTGCACCCATGGCTGGTGCAGACATCACTAATCCTTCCTTTCGGCCAGCACTCAGTGAACGCTGTCAGAGCGCCGGCCAAAAGCAACTACTTGTCTGCACCGCCAGGAGCAGCTGTGTGGTCTGCCTCTAACAGATGCAAAACGTGTAGCTGCTCCCACAAGTCCGGTACGCAGACTTTGACTGGATGTCTGACTTGGCAGCCGGCTCTGGGCCACATGGTACCAGTTCGTGGGCCAGAATTGGCCTACGGGCCGGTACTTTGAGACCCTCTGATACAGAAGCGAGAAACTGCAAGACTAGAATCACAGTTCTGATAATCCGGTTTTGTTTGTAAATGATGAGAATTTAATATTTAACACTGTTTGGTTAGTGGTTGATAGCAGGCTGAAACAATGTAGAAGGTGCTTATGGATGATGATGATGCCACTGCTGATTAATCTGCAGTGGAAAATCAGCGATATTGGGACAGTTATTGAAATCTCTCATTTTACAGCTGGATGGGAACTCTCAATACTGTTCTCCTCCTGATAATAATTCCCAGAAAGCTGGTGCCGTGGGGGAATTTTTTATTAGGAAAATATTATTATGTTATGATGATGATGATGATTATTATTATTATTAGTAGTAGTAGTAGTAGTAGTAGTATGTTGTTGTTATTATTATTATTAGTATTATGTTGTTATTATTATCATTATGTTATTATTATTATAATTAGTAGTAGTATTATGTTGTTATTATTATTATAGTTATTATTATTAGTAGTAGTATTATGTTGTTGTTATTATTATTAATATTATTATTATCATTATTATTATTATTAGTAGTAGTATTATGTTGTTATTATTATTATTATTAGTAAAAATTCGTTAACGGAATTTCGTATTTTGGATATAATCCGGAAACTGCAATTCGGATTTTGGATGCTTCCGAATTGACGAATATCAGGAAAATTCGTACGAATTTTGATTCGTAACAAAACGAATCGCACATGTCTAATATGAAGCTAAGCAGAACCTTACCACGTGGAAACATATTATTTAACCCCTTCGTGACTGACGACGTACAGTGTACGTCGCCAGCATCGGGGCTGTTTAAACAGACTCCCGGTGACTTTTGCCGCCGGGACTCTGTTTAAACTTGTAGAGCCGACTGTCGGCTTTACAACAGAAGCGATCCTGGCGACTTACCTAGGGTCTTGGCATTCAGAAAATATATAATGTTGGGGGGTTTTAAGTAATTTTCAGGCCTAAAATGTGGAATATAACATGGGTACAAAAAAATGAAAAAAAGGCCTCAGTCATGAAGGGGTTAATGTAACTAGTGACCTGCTCCCTATCTAAGTGCTCTCATCTCAGTGACGCATTTTATTTTATGTGAACATATGATTGTTTGGGTGCTCCTTTGCCAGGGGTGGAATTCTATAGCTTGCAGTATACCAGGGGTCACAAACCCTGCACACCAGCCGTGCTGGAATTTGCATTGTCCCTCTACATCTGGATGCCGCAGTTTGCACTGCTGAGGACAGAATTGTTCGGCGGGGGAATTTCATTCGTGCCTGCGTGACTCCGCGCTTGTCCTATTTACTATCTCCACTGTTTACAAAAGGCTCCTTTTCATTTACACAGGATGGGAGCATTGCCCCACTGTGCCTGCTGTCGCCACATCGCTGGTATACATAGCGCAGAATGCCAACATCCAGCTATATTGTGGAGTTAATATTTACCAATCGTCTTGTATCAGTAATCAAACAGTGCAACGTGCAATTCTCAGGTGATTTGCATGTCTTCTGCTGACAACAATGCCTGCACGCTGCCTGCTGACTTCATATATACTATTATGGGCCCTGTGAACTAAATATAGCTCATCACGAGCTGCCTGATCACTGCGACTATTAATGAGATCACACCGAAACAGCAGATAGTGTATGTTTACTGATTGATTACATTTATCTCACTCACGTCCATAGCACTGAAAAGTGGTTTTACAGACAACATTAAACCATTCCACCTTTGGTATTAATCCCGATCCTTCAGTCTAATGTCTAAGGGTCACCATACACGTTACAATCTGACTGTGCAATCAGCTTTAGATTTACCAAAACTATTTAATATGAGGACCTACCTAATCTATCCAATCAATGTGTATCCAATCAGGCAGGACCTCGCACTACAAAGCTGCTGCAGATTGTAACATGTGTGATGAGCCTGAAGCCTGGTATACTTTAGTTCAGCTTTCGGGTTAAATGGAAAAAAACGAACAGGTTCAACTATCTGCGCTAAACAGCATGAAGAGAGGAATCTCCTGTTGCGGCTATTGTATGCTAACAGTTGGCTCCACTAGCTGTCAAAATACCTGAACAGTGCCTTCATCTGATTGGACAAAGGCGCTGTCTGTCTGACAATTTCTCACTCTGCTTCTCGATTTTTCCAATCGAA